AGGTCAGCATCAGCTCGTGCAGGGAATCGGGGCAATCCGCCGGGATCGGCATCCGGTAGCCACGCTCCACCTGGTCCAACACCTCCCGGTTCACCATCCCTGGGAGGGCAGAGGGAGACATGATGATGAGAACATAAGACGATTCATCTTTATGCCGTTGGACAAGTGGAGCGGGACGGCCTGAGAGAAGAGAAGTCATTCTCACCTGGGTAGGGCACCCGGCCTTTGGTGGCCAGTTCAGTCAGCAGGACGCCAAATGACCAGACGTCAGACTTAATGGTGAAGCGGCCGTACAGAGCGGCCTCGGGGGCCGTCCACTTGATGGGAAACTTGGCCCCTGCAAGAGGACGAGTTCATCAGCAGGTTGAAACGATGCAACTTAAGCAAAACAAACGTTATAATCTCCACGGCGCCCTCTTGTGGTCTTACCTTGCCTGGCGGTGTATTCGTTGTCCTCAATGAGGCGAGCCAGACCGAAATCAGCCACTTTACACACCAGGTTGTCTCCCACCAGGATGTTGGCGGCTCGGAGGTCTCTGTGCACGTAGTTCATCCTCTCCACATAAGCCATTCCTGAAGCGATCTGAGGGGGGGGGGGAGGGGCAGCGTTTAATGACGATACTGAGCGAAGACAGATGTTTTTGGTGGATTTACTTTAAACAGTGTCACTGACCTGCGAGGCCATGTCCACCAGTTGGGGGAGGCGGAGCATCTTACCCATGTCGCCCTTCAGGAAGTCCAGCAAGCTGCCTGTTGGCAATCAAACATACTGTAGCTTCATATGTGGTTCATTTCCTGATGAGATACGTCTTTCAATCGTTTTTATACAGATCAAAAGATGTCTGGCACGTTCTGACATTTCTGAAATATCTTTCCAGACATTGAACAAACTAAAACTCGGCCAGAGCGACAGAAACAAATCATTCCAGTCATTCAGGTTCTCAGTATTTCTGGTGAACCTCCACCGAGCAGCTTCATCTCTGCACTTGTCGTCTTCCTTTCACTTTTTTCTCAGAGCTAATCCTCCTCTCTTCCACCATTTTAACTGCACCGGCTGCTTGATGAGCTGACCTTGCCCCATGTACTCAGTGACGATGTAGATGGGCTCCTCGGACACCACCGCGTAGAGCTGAACCAGCTTCTCGTGCCGCAGCTTCTTCATGACCTGAGCCTCCTGGAGGAACGCCTCGGGCGACATGGTGCCGGGCTTCAAGGTCTTGATCGCCACACGTGTTGTTCCGTTCCATGTGCCTGATTGAAATAAGAAAAACAAAAAACAGTCATCAGTTACGATTGTGACAGCTCAAACAATAGAGGAGAGCTCAGAGGGTGCCAACCTTCACCGAGGCTAACGCCCTTTATCGCCATGGTGAGAAAGGGAAACAGCGCCTGCACCCCAGAACAACACAAAACATTTCATGGTAATCGGCTCTGTTGTTTTTGCATCAACCGGGCGTCACTCAGCAGAAAGTCAAAGCTGACTTTATTATCACTTCTGCCAAATGTACACGACATAGACAGGATTGAAATTCTGATTCTCTCTGATCCCCGGTGTGAACATAGAAGTACGCAACTCATTAGGTACCCAACCAAATACTCAAATATCTCCAATGTCCGACAGTCCGCTCTAAACATGTCAGATTTTTTTCATCAAGATCCAAAAACGACCTTTGCCAGGGAGCTTAAGTTTTCATCTGCGTGTTTGTTTCTCCTTCAGGAATTACACAAAGCCTACAAGCTCAGATTCCCATGAGACTCGGTGGAAGGACGTGTCATCCGTCAGTGGACGAACCCATCAAATTTTATCGTGGGCTAGAAATATGCTCCCTGACTGGAAACACCACCTGAGATGTCTTTTTTATCTTTTATCTGATATCTTACAGAGTCACAGCATGTTTCTGCTTTGACTGCAAGTGGAAAATTAAAAAAAAAAAGTAGGAGTAGCATCTGCATCAACTTTTTCCTTGAGTCATTTTCCCCAGTTCCACAGAATTTCCTGGAAAAGTTTCATCCTGCTTTACACACAAGTTTTAAATGAAACTGTTCAGTAGCTGTTTCCTTCCCTCGTTGGTATAGAACAAATAAGAACCCATTCACTTTGAACTAAAACAGAGCGCATTGTGCATTCTGATCATCAGGACGAGGAACAAGAACATCTGCTGCGGCCGTCTCTCGTCAGGTTGAAGACATAAACACATCTCACCCATCCAGACCTCTCCGAAGCAGCCCTGTCCGAGCTTCAGGTCGAGACGTAGCGAATCCCTGGGGATCTCCCAGGCGTCCTTGGCCAGTCCCTGAGTCTGAGGCTTCAGTACGGGACAGATGTCCGATAGACTGTGACACAGCCCGTCAGCGTGCTCTGGGAGGCACAAGAAGAAGACGGGGTGGGTGGGTGAATTAGAAATCGAGCTCTTTTCTCAATGGAAAATCTATTCTTCCAAACAAACGAGACACGTGTGGCGGACTCACTGCGGTAGTGGTTGACGAGCTGCTGCAGGTTGCTGAACTGGGTGCGGGATGTGATGTAGAACCCGCCGCTGTCCAGCTTCCGGATCTTGTAGTGCTTCACGTTCAGCCCCTTGGTGTTATCGTAGTCCAACACAGACAGACAGAAGGCCCCTGGAGAGATTCACAGCAGATACAGTAATGTGTGAGGTAAAATAACATCTGAGTCATGTGTGTCTGGATGAAAGTTGCTGTTTTGACGTCGTGTCACAAAAAAAAAAAATCAGGTGAACATTTGATTGCTGCATTGAGATTGGATTGAGTCGTGTGGAGTTTGCGTGTTCTTCCCGTGTTTGTGTTGTTTTTTTTCCATGCAGATTAATTGAAGACTCTTAATTGATCATAGGTTTGAGTGTCGGAGTAAATGATTGTTTTTATTACGTTGACTCGTAGATTCAGCTCCAGCCCCATAAAACCCTCAAAGAACAGATCAGGGGTCCTCGAGGGGGTTCCAGAGGAGTCCCCTGGAGAATAATTAAATATCATCACACACTTTGCGGTAGTAAAAATCTCGTTGGACTGGGGTCCAGGGTTTAAATAAATCAGTCTAGGGGTCTGTGACGTGCAAAAGCCTGAGAACCACTGGTTTAGATCACGGAGGGAAATGAAATCATGATAAAACTGCTGGCCTGGATACAGAGAGAAATTGAATGTTCTTTTTTTTCAGGACGACTTGCTCGTCACGCCACCAGAGGGAGGCGTCAGTCAAGTGGAGAAACGTTGTGAACAGCAGCCGCGGGCATGGCCTCCCCCTCTCTTAATGTTTAAACTGGGAGATTTGGCCTGTGGTTGTACAGTCCTCAGCTCCACACTGACCTAATTCTGTCTGCCTCACCCTGCCAGCACCTCTCCTCCTCACCCATCTCCTCCGTTTCCCTCCATCCATCTGCACCTTGTCCCTTTTTCTCAGTCTGTGCAGAGGTTAAATACACATCCCAGGAATCCTGTAACGTGCACTTAGACGCACATCACACACACACACACACACACACACAGAGCCAGTGAATCCCATGTGGACTGTGTTTTCCTCAGGATTTGCACAAGAACAGCTGAACGTCTTTCTGCGTCTGCATGATTTGCTGTACGCACATCTCCACGACACAGTGGGGCGAACAGTGAACAGCAGGGTGTTGAGTCTTACTGCTCTTTCTTCTCCTCGGTGAATTTTTAGTGAGACATGTCAGGGAATTCAAAACCGTGCTGCATGACGAGATCTAAATATT